CCTGGAGACATTGCATGACTGATATACAATTCCTTGTTTCAAAAGATATGGGAGGCGATCTGACAGCATTTGAAGTTATTATAAGAGTTGTAAATTTGATTAAAAATAGACCATTAAGAAGTAGGCTCTTTCAAAACTGTGTGATGATATGGATGCAGAATAAACAGCACTTCTATATTACTGTGAGGCACGCTAGCTTTCTTCTCCCAAAATACTTCAAACAGTTTTATGTTAAAAGAAGAAATTGCCATGTTTCTGACAGATAATTACTGAGATGAAGAAAACTTGTTTTATGACATAAAATTTCTTGTAAAATTTCCATATTTAGTGGATATTTTTCAAAAACTCAGTACTTAAATAAATCAATGCTAGGGCCTCAAATTCATGTTCTTACGCAAAAAGACAAGATTACTGGACTTATGAAAAAAATTCGAACTCTGGATAATAAGTTTGAAAAATAATAACTCTGACATGTTTCCCAATTTAAAAACTGCCTGCACTGCAGATGATATAGAAGAAAGGAAAGTTCTTATTAATACTCACTTGACCAGTTTATGGAAGCAGTTCTTTTACATTAAAGATCTTCACATGTCGAAAATAATGAATGGATAAGAAAACCATTTGTGACTGAAAAATGATGATTTTGGACTTCTGAGAGCAGTGCAAGAAATAACTGACTTATCTTGTAGCAGCACATAAAAGCAGATGTTCCAACAAGAAAATAATATTGTTACATTTACGACACAGATAAAGAAAGATTTTTCCTGCTTTAAGAAACAAAGCTTTAAAAACTTTATTGCCATTTGCAGCACTTACTTATGTGAAACTTGATTCTCTGTAGTAGCTATTTTAAAGACAAAGTACTAATCTTGTTTAGTGACTGAAAAAGAATTTAAAATAATACTACATTATTTACATCTTCAATGATACCATGGTTTGAGAAAATTTATGCTGGAAAACAAGCTCTACCATCACATTAAAATAGCATTATGATGTATTAATTATGTATTCTATTTTTGGTACTTCAGTAAGATTTGTTTTTATTAGATTTAAAATTATTATTACCTCTAACAGACAAATATTTTTGACATATATTTATATAAAATATTTTATATTTTGTAGCCCATTACAGAAATTACAATATCAAGTGAGTATATATGAAAATTAGATTGCTATGAATATTGAGAAGGACAACAGTTTTTTACAAAAAAAGGGGGCAGAGGTATGAAAGGTTGGAAACCACTGCTTTAAACTAATATAACGTAAGATAGGTTATTTAATCAATTATTTAAACAGGTAATGATATAGCCACAGCTAAATACAGGGTTGCCACTCAAACAGGAGAATGAAATTCCCCAACTTTTCCAGGTTTTCTAGGTGTGTTTTAAGAAAATTCCAGTCTAACTGCGTAGGTTGTGCTGGGACGTAAATTAATGATGACACTACTTGAAAACACGAAAATTTGCCAATTACACATGACTTAATATATATATATCTATATATAGATATATATATAATGTCCAAAGAATTACTATTATAGCTAAAATAGTTGTTGTTTTCTCCATTGAACACTAAGATTAGAATCTGCCCAATCTGAATTAAAAAATGTTTATTTTGCTGGACATTCTGCAGCTAAACGAAAGAATATTTAATGGTATTTTAAAATAAATTCAGGTATTTCATATTTATTTAGCAGCATACATAAGCAAAAAATATGTGCATTAAATTTCATGATAGTATGTCATCATACTGCTAGAATTAGTTTCAGGATTATGACAGAAAAAATTACCTGAAATTTGGAAGCATTATTAACTAATAATAAATAAACTTAGAGGGAAGAAGCCACAGTAAATGGTATAAATAACATTAAAATAAAGTTAATTACTTAAAAATTAAATTACAATAATCAGCGATATTTTGGCGAATATAGCCTACATGACTGATTACTACTTTTTATTTTGCTGCAAAATTGAAAATAAAGCACTTATTAAAATCCTAGTTTACGTTGCTGCCTTGGCAGGATTTTGAAAATTGTCACCAACACCAAAATAACCCGTTTACTGCCTATATGACTGATTACTACTTTTTATTTATCTGCAAAATGAAAAATAAAGCACTTACTAAAATCCTAGTTTACGTTGCCGCCTTGGCACGATTTTGAAACAACACCAAAATGACCCGTTTGCTGCCTATATGACTGATTACTACTTTTTATTTTGCTGCAAAATGAAAAATAAAGCACTTATTAAAATCCTAGTTTACGTTGCCGCCTTGGCACGATTTTGAAAATTGTCGCCAACACCAAAATGACCCATTTACTGCTCATCATAATGTCGCCAAATCTCATGTGCACCACATACTAGGATTAAAATGATTTTGTTTTATACAAAGAATATGTATTGTTAAGAAGGAAAACTACACATCACAACAGGAGTGCCTCCATCCCAACATAGAGGGAAACAGCTGTGCATGCCCAAAGGTCACGTTTATCAAGAGCTCATAAAAGGAATATCGTTAATACCTTTAAACTTTAAAGGAAAAGAAAACATTTTTTCACGCAAGTAAATTCATTCTTCGATTAGTTATTTTGAGGGGGAAAAAAAAAAAAAATAGGGGTCGAAAATCCGAGTTTAAATTATTGCGAAAAGTCAAAGAAAACGTTTCAGCAAAAAATGTTTCTTCTTAACGTGTACATATCCTGGAGGGGGAAATTCTCGCCGCCAAATCCCTTGCCGAATTTTTTCCCCCTGCTTTCTAGTGGCGTAATAGCAAACTGATTTGCATTACGGTTTTATATGAGAATGGGAAGGTATTTCCTTTAGTTTAACATGCACTGCACATGCGCTTGCGAGTCTCTCGATTCTTGAGGTTACTGGAAACCAAAGTTGCTAGAAACTTGCTTTGCCTTCTTAAAGACAATTTGATTGGAGCTTCGAAAATTGGTTCTACGCCAGCTACCCGAATGACGCTCACACAATACAAAATTTGTTGGAGTTTGGTTTGTTCACACAAACGTTGGCATGAAATTCGCTTTTTTGGGGAATCGCCTTACGAAATTCCCTGACTTTTCAAATTTTGACTAAAATATTTTAATTCCCTGATTTCCCCCCTTTTTTTGTCAATTTTTGAATTCCATGACTTTTCTGGTTTTCCAGGTAGCGTGACAACCCTGTAAAAATGATGTTGATGCATTGCAGATGAAAATAAGAAAATCAAGATAAAAAAAAATAATTACATTACACATATTAAATGATTAGATGGGAAAACTGGCACAATGAGCTTCTTTACCAGTACATGTAATTTCTTGACACTAATGAAAGCTTTATTTTAATAAAGAGATATATTTAGCAGATGGAAACTTCTATGCAAAACAGAGCACCATCTCATACTGCATATACAGATGTTAAGCCAATTATGCAATCACTATTTGTTGCATAAATCAATGCACAATTTTGAACTGTAACCTTTCAATTATTCAGTATGATTTTTAAATACAGTTGAACCCTGCTATAATGAACTTGGCTTATTAGGAAATGAAAACTTTTTGTCCCATTCAGTTTGCTATACACTTAATGCTATTTTATACTATTATAGCAAACCTTCAAGAATATGAAAACATAACAAACTGTACACATATCTTCAACTGAAACCTTTTCTGTATTTGTCTAGAATTTATGCAAGTTTTAATGAAGAAATTACTAACTTTCAAAATGATGCACGTATAGGAAATTAAGGATCCACATTTCATCAGTAAAAGAAAATACTTTTATCTACCTTTTTTTAAATCTTCATTTGTCTCATAATCAGAAAGACTCACAATGTCAGAAAGACTATGCAGGACATCCATCTCCAGCAGAAAGAGGATACAGTAAGCATATCTTAGGACATCTCATATGGTGTACATGACCAGTGAATTATAAAATGTAAATGGGTTCTCCAATTCCACTCAAATCCTTTGTTTGAAATGCTAGACAGAGTTCTTATACAAAGCTGATACTATAACGGAAATTTTCGCTATTCAGGTACAGTAGAGAATCTTAGGTACTTGTGGTTTTTAGTTGATTCTTCTTTTAGGGAATGAATTTTTTTGTCCTTATCTGTTTTATTTGCATAGAAATGCTCCCACGTTCTATCCTCCAAATAGGAGTTTTTCTTTCTTTAGATCTTTTCCCATGCATGTATTTTTTATAAAGGTTACTGAGTCTTTGCATTGTAACCATACAGTCCTGGAAGAAATAATTTGTGCTCTGTCTGAACATTGGATCTGATAGCAGTGACCATGTAGATGACAAAATTATCTTCCCTTTGCATCAGAAGAGCAAAGTTTTCACATATTTTTTGACCAAACTTTACATTCTGTGTCAAAAAAAATCATCCATATGATGAGGACGACCAGCGGCCGAACGGCAAAGTTGCTGAATACTGGTAGTTCAGTCCAAAGTTCGAATCTCGCGAATGGGCTGGCTGCATGGGCGTTTTTGTGGTTTTCCCATGTGTATCAGGTATACGAGCCATTTTCCCTTAAAAAATCCTCCACGAAGGCAGATAGCCCTCGAGGCTGGCCATAATCACACAGACACATCCATATGATGAGCTGTAAACGTAAAGCTTCTGCATTGAAGAGAAGATAAGCATTATTCAAAAAATACAAACTGGATCCATATCTGTCAGAAATGCAGTTTATCCATCTATTGTGGATATCTTATACAAAAATTGAAACTCTATAATTTCTGCTTATGAAGAAAATTTGAATACAAGAAAAAAGTAATCAAATTTTATATTTGAACTTCCAGTCCTTTGAAGTTTACTAAAACAAGGTTTGACTGAATGTAACCATGTAGCTGCCAATAATTAAATAGCTATTGTGAGCACAACTTTTAATGTTGAATTCTTAGGAAAATGACACTTAGAAGTAAAAATAAAAAATAAAAATAAAAAAACTAGATAACTTATAATTTAGAAAAGAAAAAAACAGATCAAGTAAGACATCCAGCTGCAGGTTTTCTTTGCCTACTTAAAAATAGATGATACTTTTACTAGAATTATATTTATAAAAATTTCCATCAATACATTTTCTAAATTTAACAAAAGAAAAAAATTAAAGTGCTTAACTCCTTTGTATATACTCTTGTTATGCTGCCTTTCAATTTCCATGACAATTCACAAGTTTAGATTTTACAGTATGAAGCTCTAAATAGTAAAAATGTAATAACCACAGCACATATCAAACTGTTCTTTTTTGTTGATCTGATAGTACAATTTTGCTGCATGTTAAGAAATCACAAATTAGAATATTTTCAATATTTTAAGGAACAGAAACATTTTCCCATTAATAACTGACATCACATCTACTAACATTTAAGGCACTGAAAATTTTAACTAGAAAAAAATATAACTTCAGTATCAAACAAATAGGTTTTATGTATGACATATATAGAATAAGAAAGTAAAAAAATAGGATATATATTATCTAGCATATGCATAGTTAATCTGAACCTTAATCAGAAATTAATGTTCATTATAACAAAATACAACCACAAAAACTTTAAATATTGAACATTTCTCCCATTATATTCAACCTAGAAATAAAAGGTTGTGCAGGGCATACAAGAAATTCATAACTGCAAAATTCTTTATCATACAGGTCATCAGAGGAACTTAAGGAGATTGATTTTTCATCTACTTTCTGATGAATAACTGAAGTACTAGTCAAATTTGGGTCAGAAACTGCAAAGTTGGAGCTTGCTTGATCAAGCACATCTGACTGTCTATTTTCTAAAGATTCAGAGCTTTCATGAACTATAAAAGTGGAATTTGAATTAAGCTCATTATCACTATGAGTCTCTAAATCATCTAATTCCTCTGAAAATGTGGTATTTGACAGCAATGTTGAATTGCTATGTATAAAATCACTGGATGAAATATTTGTATCACTTATATCTTTTGTTACTTCAGCATTAACATTAGTAATATTTTCATTTGTCATTTCTTCATTATAAAATGTACTATTACTATTCTGACTTCTGTCATGCAATATATTATTAACACTATTATTAAAAGATACTGAGAAACTGTTTTTTTCAGTACTAAGCATGTCTTCTGAATTATTATCAATCCCAGTAGTTTGTGTTCCATTTAGAATTTCAATAGATGTTACATTTTTAAGGATTTTCTCTGATTTATACTTCTGCTTCTTACTTTGCTTAAAGACTTTGAAAAAGTCATCCATGTCACGGATTTCAAGAAGAGAATGAAGATCCAATTTTTTTTGAAATTCATACAGTAAAATCTGATGATCCTGATGCTTTGCACTGCAACAATACACAGCACCAACATCAATTGGATGAGCTTCAGTATTGAAAATATAACCACCAGCTCCTATTATGCAGTTTCCACCAGACATTTGTATTAATTCTCCACAAGATCCATTATTATGAATAAAATTATCTGGATCAAATAAGAGGTAGAGATACTTAGTTGTTTCAGCAAGAAAAAATGATTCCATCCGGTCCTCAATTTTATGGTCCACTACATTTTTTATCTAGAAAAACAAAATAAACAACATATTATTTCAACACTAAAAAAATTTAACTTGTTTTCTGAAGAACATCTGTAATACATTCATTATATTCAGACACTATTGGTAATGCTAAAGTGCATAGACAAACTTTTCAAGGAAAGCACATAAATACATGGAAAAGGATGACTTCTTAGGGAATTTCATTAAAAAAAAAAAAAAAAAATGTGGTTAACATCTGCACTACACATGGGAGAGAGTAAAGTCTGACTATTTGCTAAAAATGAAGTTTGGAACAAAGAAATTTGTGATCAGTCCTTGTAAGGAAGATAAATAGGCATAAATGGGTGGAATATTTTAATACAGAAAGGTAAATGAAAAAATGGAAAAGCATATTTTACTGCAAAATAAATTAGAAAAGACATTTTCATTACAATTTCATATAAAAATAGCAAGCCAATAGATAAAATTTCCCATACACTTAAATAATTAGAGCTGATTACTTCAAAGCACATGGCAGTTAGCTTATCACACATGGTGTTGGATGTATATTTAATGTTTGCATTTCTTTTTTCTTTTGCCTTATTTATTTTCTCACTATTTAATTTTTCATTATGCTTTTTACAATAATCTTGTTGATGGCAATATGTTTTATTTTACTATTGAGTTTGTGTGAATGGCAACAGTTGTTAATGTTTTATATTTTAGTAGAATAGCGTTCTTAGCTGCACTGTGATGTGGGCAATCTTTGTTAAAGAATTTCATGTTGTAGAATATCAAGAACGTTTTTACACAAAGCTGATGCTTTTTAGTTCAAGGCAACTACATGGTCATTTGTGACAACCAATATACAATCATGCCCCTGTATTTATTAATCAAGCTACCCATAGATAACGAACCACTGACAGGAGAGATAGCTGAAATTCTAAAATATATGCCAAATGAGAACAACATGATAAAATGAAAAAGCCACCCAGTACCGTTTTCTCAAAGTAACTGCCAATACAAGCACATATATGTGCAGTCATTACTCTTTTAAAGGAGACATGAAAATTGTAATATGCCCTCACTGGGACTCGAACCCTGACCCTCTTGAATACACATTGAGTATGCTTCCAGTTACACCATGAAGGCATGCAGAAGGGAGGGAGAAAATACCTTATAATCTCCTCGTTTTAAAGGATGACTGCGGATGAGGGGACCCAATTGACAAATCCTGGTGGTGATGAATTATCAGCCACCATTTTTTAGTTTGGGTACCACTTGTCCAGCATTAAGTATTTCGAAGCACAAGATAAGAAAAATCAGCAATGCCCTCGCCGAGACTCGAAGTCTGGACCTCTCAAATGTGCACTGAGTATGCTTCCAACTACACTATGAAGACATATGGGAGGAAGAAAGTAACTTACACGTGTGCACTTTGGAGTAGTGATGTAAACAAGCATTAAGAATGAAAATGGCAATCTCCATTTAGTTGCCCAGGACCTCAATGAATCTCCACGCCTCCATTCCAAAATCTGGGACCTCAATGAATCACCATGCCTCCATTCCAAAATCTGGGACCTCAATGAGTCTTGTATATATTCTCTGGCTATAGGCCACCCATCAAATACTTGTTTTATTAGCTCATACCCTTGCAGGATAGGGATAAATATGATAAGATATTGTAGTTATCTACAATCAAACAATATTTGAGTTATTCTTCTGTTTTCCTATGCATAGGTAAGGAAAAGCATAACTTTCATTCCTATGAACCCTTAAGAAGTACAGAACAGTATTTCCATTTCTTCATTTCTCTATCATCTTTTTTATGAATAGCTAAAATGCCAGATATTCTTATTTTCACACCTACAAGAAAGAGAAACAATACTGCAATGTTAAATAAACAACACATCCGAAAAATCCTTACCTGCCTTTTATTTTCACAGCCACTGGCTGCAGACAAATTACAAAAATGTTTGGAAGACATTATTGTGATATTGGAAAATGTGATATTCATGATAAAAATAAAATGCAAATAATATGAATCATGTGATAAAAATGAACTGATATGCATTATCTAAAAATTTCAGATAACTTTTCTAGAAAAACAGGAATCCTATGTAAATTTCAAAAAGTAATATTTAAATTTATATATAACTAAAAATTAAATATCAGCTTTTAAAAAAAACCACTCTGATGATGACAGATTTAAATATCAAGCACTGATATGCAGACAGCCATGTAAAGTTCTGATCAATACCAAACTTTTAAAGAGACTTTTTTAAACACAGAATGCAAATGAAATGGCAAAAGTCCACTGCACAACAGTTCTTTGAAAGAATCAAACTGTATATTCTTTTGAATAAGAAGAAGAAGACATAACAATATTTTTTTAACAATCAATAGTCTGCAATTTAGAAATTGATGGGAAAAATATGCAAGTTCAGATATAAAAATCGATTCTGTGAAAAGTTCTGACTAATACAAAACTTTTAAAGATATCTAATTTTTTTTAGGACAGAATGCAAATGATGACAATTGATTGCAAAACAGTTCTTTAAATGAAAGAATTAAGCTACATATTTTTTAATAGGAAGAAAAAGATAAAATTGTATTTTTTTAATAATCACCACAATGTCTTTTAGAAATTCATTAAAAAAAAACTTCTTAAAAACATCCAACAAGCAAGCAAATATACAACACAATCAATCTTACAATGCTCTACGTTTTGTAGTATGCAATAACAGCAACAGAAAAATCAGTAATTTATAAAAGTACAAAAACATATTTTTATCTAAATATGCTAATATTTAGAAAAAATAGACATTTTATTATTAAAAAAATTAGAAATTTTGAGACAAAACAAAGATTTCACTTATGAAATGATTTTAGTGTAATATCTGTTCGAAATCTCTGCCCTCAGCTACTAAACATAATTATATTCATAAAATAAAGTATTCTTCACATCTCTTAAGTAGGTCATGATTTGCTGATTTTCTTTATAAGCTTTATGCTTCAAAATCCCCAGTGAAAAAAAAATATAGCATGTCAGATGATCATGGTGGTCATTGCACTGGACCCGTATACCAATAATTTCAAAGGTGCTTCTCAGAAAGTTGTGTAGTCCTGCAGATTTATGCACTGGAGCACCATCATGCTGAAACCATACAATTGACAAAGCTTTCAACGAGATATCATTTTCGAATGGTCCCTTTAACATATTAAATTTAATTTTATGTATATTCATCAGTTAAAATACCATAAAAATTTAATGGCCCAATCAGCATTTCTTTCCATAACCCACACTAAATAGTTATAAATTATAAAAAATATAAATTAAAGAATGTTACACATTACTAAATAACAAAGGAATCTCAATGAATGACCTGAAATGGAAATAAAAACAAAAATAAAAACAATCTCAATTTACTTTCATTGCATTTTAACTAACCCCTCAAGAAGGGCAACAAACTTGATTTTAAAAAATCGAAAATTAAAAAAAAACACCTCAGTCAAACCTTTGTATTTTATATTTTACAATGCACGTAACATTTTCTAAATATAAGCATGATGGGTAAGAAAACATATTGTTACGAATTTTGTATTTAAATAGCTAATTTTAGTAGAATTATAATTAAAATTGTTGTATTTCCCCGTGCAATGCAGTGCAAGGCAAATTTTGAGAGAAAGCTAGGCCGGAAAAGTAAGAATACAGTGGCAGATGCATTTAATAAATGGGCATTGCTTTAATTTATATTGAGTAAATGTAATTGACCATTGTGTTAGCTGTAACAGTAATTCCACTGCTTTCCAGTTATTTCAAGAAGCAGAAATTACTAGAAATATCTTGCAACCAGCTGAAAGCTATAAAAAGGCCGGAGAAAGAGCATCTCAGTTCAGTTGCTTAATTACTGTTCTTCGAGTTTAGTTCTGCATGAACTGAGATATAAGATTCAACTTTCTCTTTAGATACACTTGCACTGCATTGTATTTCAACATTTTAAGTAGTTTAAAGTATAACTACTGATTATATTGCATGATATTATGAACACTTGTATGAATATTTCTGAGGAAAATTCAAGCATTCTGATATATTTCTGTTGATAAAAGTAAATTTTATTAACCTATTATTGGACTTGTGCATTCTATCTATTATGAACCCATACACATGCAACAATATATAAAATTAAAAGTTCATAAATTTTAAAAAGTTTATTTTTTTTATTTAAAAATGCCAGAACATGAACATTTGTATTATCTAAAACATTTTTATGACAGGAAGCATATGTCTATGACAAATGGTTGTGAAAATAAAGTTTGAGTAAGGACTTTTGTGGACATGGTATATACTGCATTCAGGGCCAGATCAAGGTTTTTAGAGGCCATAAGCACTTAAAAGATTTTGGTGCCCTCACATAAGTTTACCCCAGTTCTTTTGTTTGTTTGTTTTTGCAATTCCTTTTCTTTCTTGGTTTTAGTCATACATTAAATCTCTTACACACACCAAATATCCTAATAACCTTAAACATTGCACAGTTTTTAGTTTTTTAACATTGCACATATATAAAAATTGTATTTTTGATACTTTTTACACTTTTGAACACAGAAACAGTAAAATCTTAGATCCCAATCACATTATGTTTCGGCTACGTGAGACTTGACGTAGAAAGTGACAATTCTCAGAACTCGCACATTTCCAGGAAAACCACGTAGCTAGGTTACCTATTTCACTTACTTCAAAGACTTGAATGCCAAACAGTAATCAATTATCGATTAGACTGGGATCACGTGAAGCTTCAGAAGTAGAATATTTGTCTGATTGGTTGATCTCTACCCGGGACAGAGCTCGAGCCAAGACACTTTTGGTGAGGTTTGAAAAATCATGCGCAGTCGATACATTGTTTCCGTAGCTTGGTGGGACTTCGCTTCCAGTGGGGCTCTTTTCTCTAGGAATCCTCCCATTTAAACCAATGCTACCAGAATCTCATTTCTCAGAAATGTTCCGTCTAGCAGAGACTGTCACCATATGTGATAACCTCTTTACCCTTCACTATTAATAAAATAAAAGATGCACTGCAACATGATTCACACTTACTGTGGCATAGCCGCAGTCTGTCCGAGCACTGTGTTCAATGGATTCAAGTATATCAACTCCAATTTCCAGAAGATGTTGATCTTTTGTTGCATAATATAAATACATGATACTTTCAATTAATTCTGGAAAAGGAATAAGAAATTAATTACCAAGCATCATTTAAAGCTTTCCAAGTAAGAACATAAATTTATTAAACTGCACATACAACAAATATTTCAATGACAAAATTTGTTAATGAAATGTTTTCTGTGCAGATTCTATTAATTCGAAGAAATGCAGATAATTTAGAATAAAAGGAAAAAAATGGTATTTAATAATACAAAGGTATATAAATATGAAATACCTTTCAAGTATTTTCAGTGAACAAATCATAAGTTTCACACACTTAATGCTTAATCATTTTATAATTTTTATTTATTTTTTATCTAAATGAGCATCTGTCAAATTTACATAAAATAAAATGTAACTGACATATTGATTTGGTGGACATTGTTACAGAAACTACATATAGATGAAAAGAAGCTTCAGACATACAAATCTACACAGTTAGAGGAAAGTATGTTTGGCTTTAAATAATTGGTGAACATAGACATGACATTAAATAATTGGTGAACATAGACAGTTACAGCTAAGAATGCAATCTCTGTACACAGCAAAGTAACTATGCCTTACAAGATGAGACTATAATGCACTTATCGTGTTATTCAGAATAATTAATCCTCACAGAAAACAGGTTTCAATAACTGGTTCTACTGAACAGCAACCAACAGATCTGAATACACCAAGAGATTCAAATAAAAAACCATTTACTTCAGATTCACACAGAGTTGTATATTAGTACCTACGGAAATGAGTAACAAAAGTCACCCATTTAATTACATGGTCCAGGGATCAACTGACAAAAAATTCTATTTTCAGAAGTTCTGCTCACAGTATTTCTCCAATGCTGGCCATTAAAAGGAAGCAAATAGCAGAATCTCTCTTACTGTACATATATAGTATAATGGGAGGAAAACATGATTAAATTTGCAAGTGATCTGGGGCACAGAGTGTGCAGAATTCAGCACACAGTACCTCTGGCAGTACAATGACTGTAATCTGGCAGGACGTCAATCAGGTCGAATTGAGCTAACAGTTATGGTTGCTTCATTCTATGTGACTTCAACTCTATGCCAGAGTTCATGAACTGGTAAGAAGTGAGTTGGTGAGCAGTAGCATTCTCTCAGCAAAATATGACCAGATGCTTTCAATGGATGAGAGATCTGGAGAACAATCAATCACCCTTTGCATCAAGGAAGGTAAAGGACAGTATGGGTAATACAGAATTGTACATTATCTTGTTGAAAGATCATGTCAGAAAGGCCTCAAAGATAGGATATAGCCATGGGCCTTCATTACATCAGAAATGCAACAAGGGTTGTTGACATTGCCAGCTATGTGAACAAAAGGTGACCAAGATGTGCACCTAAGGGGCCCCCATACAAGCTCACCATGTACTGGGTATATACAACATAGAAAAATGTCAGCTTGCAAAGTTTGCCCTCCTCAGTGCCACAAGGATACATCAATCATGATGCTATGGTGCTACTGCTGTATCCAATGTCATCAGCCATCATAGCATTGTGAGCACACTTGTCTCCGCTGCAGTGCCACAGAAAGCTACAACAATGGTTGCCCTGTTGTTGCAGATGTCCTTACACTGTCATGTGGACACTTGCTGTCCTGCACATTGAGCCAAGTTCTTGAATCAGGTTATGGAATATATGACATACGATCCTGCAAGGTTGAGACGACAACATGTCTGCCCTCAGGTGTTAATGGCCCACCCAAGCTGAAATCTTACATGGTGCTCAGCATAGCTATCCTTGATACATCGATTTCATATTTGCTTGACAGTCATAGGACCCCAACCAACATGAGCAGCAATACCACAGAATGATAAATTGCAGTCCCAATAAGCCAAGATCCTGCCCCAGTCAAATACTGACACATGATGGTAGCAGACAAAGCCTAACATGACCTTTATACAACCAACCAACATTCAAATGCAATTTGCAAATGAGAAACTTGCTGTGCAATCTTCATTCAAACACACTGTAGATAGCATTAATCATCAATCCTTATATCTCGACATGAAGTATCTTTGGTTGAAACATGAGATTTCTTGCATTCATTTGACATTGTAAATTGTTTACACACTATTTATATTTTTTGATACGATTACTAGGTTGGCACCTGATTTCTCGGTAATATTAGAAGCTGTGATTAAACTTCTCATCTATGTCCCTAATTTAACAATTTACAAATATAAATATTAAAATCATACACATTTAAATATACATAGCTTAAATATTCATTAAGTAATGTTTCCCTCAATGTTGTTTTTTTAGGAAATAAGTGATATAAAATGTAATCTGCAACAAAGAAAGAAATAACCTATAAACATATAAATACACTATTTATATTTTTTGATAAGATTACTAGGTTGGCACCTGATTTCTCGGTAATATTAGAAGCTGTGATTAAACTTCTCATCTATGTCCCTAATTCAACAATTTACAAATATAAATATTAAAATCATACACATTTAAATATACATAGCTTAAATATTCATTAAGTAATGTTTCCCTCAATGTTGTTTTTTTAGGAAATAAGTGATATAAAATGTAATCTGCAACAAAGAAGGAAATAACCTATAAACATATAAATCACAGGATGTACGCACTCAACCCACCCGAGATATGCAAATGATGATAATTTGGACTGTGAATGCCATACATCCATCATATAAACATGAAAGAGCCATATGGTAAGGCGTTTTTATTGATACAAGTTTTGTTGATGTTTCAAATTTGTTGAGTTTTATTTACTTATTTATTTATTTTGTGTGTGTGTGCTATTTAGTAAAGGCTGCAAATGCCAAGTATGCAGCTTCAGAACATGTATAACGATGGCTTTTAGAACAGCAGAACAGTATGGCCACATTAAATAGAATGATTTGCATATCATATTGCTTGCTGGGCATGTGTAATGTGATGCACATTGCATCAAGACCAGCCAAGCAGTTTAACATAGAGCTGTATACCTTGAGAAATGGACATTACTTTCAAATCTTACAACATACTACTTGTGACATTTGACATGCTCCCATTATTAGACATAGGCATATATCTAATACTAAACCTGGAAACTGAAAATTACACAGCAAAATTATTATGACAACTACCACTGACTGCAAAGGGATTCAATTTAAAGAAAATCTTACTGTTGGAGTTTATAATGCAGTATATTTACTGTCTTTTGCTTCTTTTTATTATTATCATTTTTAGAACACGATTATCCTGAAACTAATTTCACTCCTGGATGCATAATATTTTTAGCACAGTATATTCTAATGTTCTAACGTGTTTTTATAAAAGAATTCTTCACTTCCTCAAAATATTTTTCTATCACTTATCACCTTTCTCTTACATCTATTGTATTCCCTTCTATTAAACCTTTTTTACACATACAGTTATATAAGAAAATATAAGTTTTGTATTCACTATATCTTGATTAAGAAATTCTTTAGGTACATATATGCTTTGGTTAATTACTTTGGTTAATACACAGACAATCCAGATTTAATGTTAAAATTAGAACAAAAAAACAAACAACTGAAGTCAGTGGATTTGGATTAATATCACTCGCATACTATGAGTACATTAACCAAACTCGCACTTTGCATCTGGCAGCACATTTTACGAAGAGTAGTTTTAATATCAAACAGTGTATAAACATAACATAATTACATACACTTCACAAACAACTCAAGTCAGTGGCTCTGGATTAATATCATTTACATACCATGAGTACATTAACCTATCCTGCAATTTGCAGCACATGTTATGAAGAGCAGTTTTAATATCAAACAGTGTACAAAATTAATTACATACACTTAAATATAACAGCATTTATAATAGAAAAAGGTATCCTTTTTAAAGCTCAGATTAAACATTCTGATTTTATTTAGAACTCTTCTACCTGGTCTAAGTGGATAATTTTCCCGTTTGGCATGACTGTGAGATACATCATATATTTCTGGTGTAAATCCATATTGCTTCCACACTTGATGATAATTGTACAGAGTTTTTACAGCTTGCGGAATATCCCCTACAAGAGTCTAAAAAAAATTTTTTTTTTTTTTTACAGTTAGATTTCTAAAATAAATTTTAAAAAGAAAACATTGTAGTAGTTTACAAAATGAGAACATACCAGAAGACCAGGCCAGAATGCTTCAAGGGACTGAAAGGTAGGCATAGTAACTTGGCCACTGCTCATGCTTACCCAGAAATACCAATCATCTCTTTTCATATATTTGGAAATAATTTTTTCATACTCTATATGAATATTGCAATAAAAAGAAGGCTTTAGGAACTAGTAATTCCATGCAAAAGTCAAATCAATTACTATATTTAATATGATTAGTGTAATTGATGCAGACGAATTCTAACCCTTCTCTTAATCATTGCTATTCGGCAAAACTACACAAAAGTGCTTTTTTTCTGTAATTTATCACTTGCATAGAAAATAAATAACACTGATACAATAATTCCCAAAAAAGTTTTTTATTTCTATACCAAATGTGTCAGTTATTAAAATTATTTTTGTGAGTAACAACTGAGCAGATATATCAGCTGTACTTTTCAATGTATTATTTGGCAGTCAATTAATATGCTTTTGCAACTAGAATTTATATACATATGTAAGAAAAATAAAGAATATGTAAAAGATTAAATTAGCAAAAAAAATTTCCCTTCCGTATTCTAAAAATAGTAACCTCTATTTGCACTGCAACATTTTGAGCCTAATCTGTCATATGACTCTTACACAATTCTGATGATGTATATGGAACTAAAACTCAAGCAGCCAATAGTAATTTTACAGCTGTATTAATTATCTAATCAAAATGCATTGAGAACCAAAACTAACTCAGTCTGAATTAACACCCTAAACATAATCCACTCGCTTTCTACGCTTTGCCTAGATGGACTGCACTTTGTCTGCTCCTTCTATCTTACTGTAAATTTATCTAAAATGTAAACTTTTTGGACAGTTCTAAGTCGCTTTGATAGAACAGAACCACATATTTTTAGGATTAATGGAATATATGAAGAAATGCCAGATGGTGATGATACAAATTTTTCATTGTAATGACAATGCCTCAATCAACAATCAATTAATAGTAGACAAAACCTATAGTACGATTTTAAATCCAGAAAATATTGCTGCCAATTGTGAAGAAAAAGATAAAGAGATTACTGAGAATTAAAAAAATTCAAGTAATTCCTCAGTGAAAATTTTTGATGCAACAAACACAGGATATGAAAAATGAAACTTTTTAACTGAACAAGAAATTATGTTTTTCAATAAAATTAATGAGAAAGTATTAACACATGAAACAAAACTGCTTTAACAACTTAATTTGAATTAATTTTTAGTGAAACAAAAATTGCCATTTAGCTTTTCTTGGTAACCATGCATTCCTTAAAACCAAAATGCTTCATTATTTGACACACACACACACAGAGATATTTAATTAAAAAATTTTTGCATGTTAACAGATTCAAATGATAATCTAAAATCTGGTATTGCTGAGGTCTCAAGATTTCATACACTATATATAAATATAAAATATATACAGTACAAAGTCTGAGATCCGGACGTCCGATATCAGAATGATAAAAAATCTGGACCTCAAAGCCACGAGCAACTTTTTCTTTTTGTATGTTTTACGCATGTGCACTTTATTCCCCCTCCCGAGCATAATAAAACATGTGGAGTCCAAATTCTTAATTTCACTTCAGCACTGAATAAAATACCTCATTATAGAAGAAATGATCATTTTAGCATAAATTTGTATCATCAATAACTTGGCACTGTAGCTGACAAACTGCCTGCTTGCCGTACATCTGAAACCGAAACATTCTACATAAATACATTTTTGAATTTACACCTACTAATATTTTATATCACTGACGCTAACCTGGTGAATTATTATTTATTATATTTTGCTTTCATCAGATGCTTATCAACACATGACATCTTGAGTAAGGAATGAATCATATAGCGAAGACTAAAAAAAATTTTTTTTATGTTAGTAATTGCATAACGAAGAGCATGGCAACCTTTAATGTTGATATTATGCTTGGCGATGATTAGATTTAAGTTAAATGTGCTAAGAAATGTTGATGAAATGAAATTTCTTTCTATATGGTGAAAACAGATATTGTTAATGATAGGCCAAAACATTACATTTAGTGCTCTCTGAATTAAGAATAACTGATAACATACACCCAGAACCAGCGCCAGGGCTCATATGGCCGCAAAAGATGGCAGATCTCTATTAGGTTTGGTTTGGTTTTATTAAGGTAACACAATCGAGGTTATCTGTCTAGGGAAGCGATACCTTTGTGGAGGACTTTCTAAGGAAAACTAGCTTGCATACAATTTCACATGGGGAAAATCACAAAAGCACACATCCAGCCAGTCTGATTGCCAGGAATGTCTTGGACCAAACTGCCTATGTTCAGCAACTTTACCGCCTGGCTACTGGTGGGCTAATCTGTTATGGCGATGTTAGAATACAAATAGAGTCAAAGACTCATTATCGAATATTAAAGTCATTCTTAATATTTGATAATGTTTATAATGTAAATAAAACTTTCAACCATACAGCAAGTTTTAAATTAAAAGTGACAGGTTGGCTAGGCAAAGTTTGCAAGAACATCTATCTAACAAGGAAACAGTTCTTACATCCTTTTGTTAAGGACTTACTGAAGAAAACTGAATCATATTTAAATCTCACATGGAACAAAGAGCAAAAAAATCCTAATGCAGCCAACTTGTTTGCTGGGATGAGAACCAAGGTCAAATTACTAGTGTTTAATGAACTTTAGGCCAATCACCCACCTGATGTGCAATAAACAAACCAAATGGAAGCATATGCATGAAAACAAGACAACAAAGCTGGAAATATGTTTTACAGTTTTTCAGTTCTACTGAGGATTCACTAAAGTAACAAAAACTAGTTTAACTTAAACAAATAAAACAAAAATTTTGCAAAACATAAAAACAAGAAAATTTCTTTAACTTAAAATTTCTATAACATGTCAGCAAAATTTCATCATGTGAAATTATGGTGTAAAAGCTTTATCAATCAATCATCAGTTCTGGTCTCTTTAACCCTGTGAGCACCATAACCAGCTATCTGGTCATGACATTTTTTGTCACTTGATACATATTAGCTTACTATTTAAGATCTTTTGGTTTTTTACTTCCTTTAATAATGTAAATGTGATCTTAATGAATATAAGTTTATGAAATTAGAGACTAAAATAAATAATCACACAAATTTAGCTAATAAATGCCGTCTAAATACAGGTCTTCATGACAGATTCAAAAACTCATGCCACTCAGGGGGTTAATGTAAGCAGAGAAGTGTATAACACTTCATGAAAAAGAATAGATTATCACAATGAAAGTACATATCACATGACTAGAAAGACAGAATTATAAGCTTCCACAAATGCTTAACTAGTCAGGAAAAGAAAACAAAGTTCAGACTTTGTTATTGAAAACTGATAATGCTAATCACACATCAGAACTTTGATAACAACAAACACTGAAATAAAAGATGAAAACAGTATTCACATATGAAGCTAGGATTTTTTTTTTCAATGGCAGGCACTTGCCTGTAACAACATTGGCCACTACTAAGGCTAGAAGTGGTGGCCATTTTATTGTGGAGGCACCTAATAGGCTGCCACTGCTACCTCCTGTGAAGGGACGAACAATTTTACATCCATACCTTCTCCAGGATTCGAATCCAGGCCCTTCGGTATCGCATTTAGACTCCCCTAACCACTATACCATCTGGGTGGTTGAAGCTGGGATATCTTAACATTATTTATCTTTATATTATTTTTCAAAGAAAAACCATGACAAAAAAGTGCACCATGATGCTTTCACATTCATGTTCAGGAAAACTATTGGATGGATGTTGCAATGGTGTTTTTCACTGGGTGGTGAACAGTTTTAAACAGAAAACTCAGTGCATTGTTATGGAAACCTTATATGCTTTAGCAAGATAACTTTCATTGTTACTTAGGGAATAACAAACATGAGAGATCCACATATAATGGAGCAAAAGATAATCAGCAGATTCTGAAGTAGAAGAATTTAAAATGCACCTGGTAGCAATGGGAATGGTAAATAAAAGAGAAGACAAAGAAAATGAGTCTAAAACTGCTTGCCATTCTGAGAAAGAATACAATAACGTATAAAAAATAAATGGAAATTAGTTTCCGAAATTAAACAAATAGCAGTTTGGGGGGGGAACACATTTCAGCATGATTTAATTTTTTCGCAAAACACTTCGTAACACATTTCTTTATTAAATCAGGGTCACATATTTTATTTTAAAAATTATAATAATAAAGAGCTTTAATTATAAAAGTAAACATAATAAAAACTCTTATAATGTGAATGCAATTTACCATTAGCACTAAATGAGATTAACATTAATTTTTCTCACCTTTGAACATTTTCATAAATTTTGGCTCTTGAAACAGTATTGCACCTTTAACTAAGTACTCAAAGTAAGAATCAACACCACCACCTATACCAGAATCAAGGGCAGTCCACTTCCCATCTTGGACATTGATATGATTGCCTACCTTACATATAAAGAAGTACATGCATATACATTATACACACAATAAACACAACCATAAATGTAGATATAAATTTCAAATAATAACAATGCTATATTAAGTAGAAATGAATTTATAAACATAAAATTCAAGCTTTGATTAAACTTATTTCTCAATTGAGGAAACATGACATAATATGGTAAGTGTTAAAAATGTCTTCAAGATCAGGCCAGCTATGAGAGTTGCGCTAAAAAAACATTCTTCTTGCCTTCTGAGGCACACTTGCACACCGAGGCACCAGTCATCACAATTTGTTGTTTCTTTCAAAGTCTATTTTTCTATTTCACATCATAAATAAACTCAAAATATTTTAGGATGAATTTTACCCATTTGGTTTCTTTTACGTCAGCATTCTTCACATAATTTGGTTACTCTACAATATGGAAATTTAGTAAAATACAAGATCTTTATATGATAAATACTATAAAACATACACATTTTAGAATATGCTGATTTGATGACAGTACTTTTCTTTCAAGTAAGAGGTCAAAAATTAAAATTTAAAAAAATTCTGATGACAAATCAATTCAGTCACCATGTAATTGAAACAATTGGTTACCAAAACTGGAAATTTAGAGATTTAAGGGAGATATAAATCCTTCTTGACACTTTGGAGTCAGTTTTCCAGAATTCATGACAGTGAAGAGATACCGGTTGAAGATAAATTCCAATATTTGATTTGATTTAGGTGATTACTCCTGGGTCTCGAGCTGCCAATTTAATAGAAAGTTTTCCCCATTTCTCAGAATCAACCCAAAGGGATATATTATTGAAAGAAAAATTTGGCAGAGAAGATTTGTTAGTACATGTGTATGTTCCTGAATTACTCACTCACAATGGTAATGAAAAACGATGTAAGTGGTAGAAAATGTACAGATTTGATTACTTTATATACAATCAACTGGAACCACATGGTAGAGTTTTAAGATACGTTAGGACGATCTAAAGACAAGTTTGCAGATTTCTTGTCTCCTCTTGGAGAGTCTTATCATTCTGAAGATGTGTTGAGAACTTAGAAAAAATACTGAGCGTCCAACATTCCTAATGGTAACAATGAGGTTGCTGAAAATGGTCAAGGATCCCTTGAGAAGCTCATGAAATTTTTAAGAAGGGAAGTTAATGATGAGGAAATGATGAATTTGGCTCATGTCTCCTTTTGGAGAGTCTTATCGTTCTGAAGATGTGTTGAGAACTTAGGAAAAATACTGAGTGTCCAACGTTCCTAATGGTAGCAACGAGATTGCTGAAAACGGTCAGGGATCCCTTGAGAAGCTCATGAAATTTTTGAGACAGGAAGTTAATGGTGAGAAAATGATAAATTTGGCTCATTCAGGTTTTGGAACTCAAGTTAAGGTTAAAATGGAAATTAATACTGCAAGAAATAATATTCCTTCTGCTTCAGCTCTTATTTCGTCTACACACAAAGAGGCTAAATGTATTTTTTTCTTATCGTCCATATTTTAGTAAAGACTATAGGAAAGCTCCCATGATGACTAAATGTGAGAAAACCTCCCCATGATGACTAAATGTGAGGAAACCTCAAGTTATATGCAAAAGATTTTGCTTCGTTTGTCTTAAGCTAGGACATATTGCAAAAATGTATAGAAGTACCATTCGATTCATCTGGTTCATTCGAATATGTGGACAACCTAATTATACTCTGCTTTGCCCAGATTGGCAGACAGGGTCTAACAAATTGACTTTTCATGGAAATTCTAAAAACACTATGCCATGCCTTAGTGTGGCTAATTAATAGCAAAATATCTAAGGGCTTTGTTCTTAAGAAGATATACCTTCGTGAAGGCTTTTCTAAGGAAAGATCGCTCATATACACATTACACATGGAGAAAGCCATTTCAGTTGGTCGAAGAAAATCTGACTGCATGCTCTAAAGTTGTAAATTTTGCCGCTCGGACGGTATACTGGTTAGGGAAGCCGACAGCGATACCTAAGGGCCTGGGTTCGAATCCCAAAGAAGCCATGGTTGTAACTGTCCATCCCTTCATAGGAGGCAAAGGTGGCCTACCTATTAGATGTCTCCATAATAAAGTGAACACCACTTCTGGTCTTAGTAGTGGCCAAGCCGAAGTCGGCTGAAGGCCCCGCCATTGGGGGGGGATTGTAAAATTTGGTTTATTTTCAGAACCAAATTTTAATAGTCAGTATCGTATACCTATGCATACTTATGTAAATCGATGCAAACTTGTTTAATATTAATCTGCATTTATTCCGTTACACATGTAATTCATCACCTAATTAAAGCTTACAGCAGAGATATTTTCTTGGTTGTATGGTGCTTGTCGTAATCAAAATCAAGTACATAACTAGTGTAAAAAGTCACCACACATTTTCCTAAATTTTTTAGTCTTTTCTCATTTTATCAGTGTTCAGTTTTTTCAACAAGATGACTAACACAACATTTTTTAATTTGTCTTTAAGTTTATTTATTAAACATCACTTTCTCCAAAGTTACGCCACATAAAGTTCAACTGCAGAATCATAAAAGATTTTAAAACAACATAGCTTTAGAATTCTTGATAGAGGATTACATGTTGCCATACATTTTTTGGTATTTAATATTAGTGTGACCACCTTAGTGTAGTTTGGTAGCCTTTTACAGAAGAAAAAGTATAACTTAATAATTGCACAAAAGTTCATTATTATATGTTTTGCATTCAAATAATGTATTTATCCTGAAACTCAATCAACAAAGATACTTTAGTACAAGTATACAAATAGGTTTTTATTTCTTTGGTTATGGTGGAAATTTCATGGCTGTCACTAAAAACAGATTCAAAGCTGTTCCCTTTAGTAATTTTATAGCAAATCAATGTATTTCTGCAGATTTTACCATAATTTCTTTCCTTGGATGTGAATCCCACAATATTTAAAAACTGACACGACACAAAAATATCACGGTTTGTCTCTAAAACCCCCTGGAACTTGGAATACAACAAAGCGAATGCACATGATTAAAGCAATGCTGCTAATTGAAACTGAACAACTGTCATGTGCATGGCTGTCAGAATTTGGCACATTCTAAAAATTTGGCAGCATCTAATAAGGTGGTTGGGCTAATACCTAAATACCCATGTTTTTATACTCACTATATTCTTTCTTTAAAATAAAACATGGTGACAGCATTTGGAGGCAACATTCATACTTTTTCTTTTAATATTCACTATATTATTTCTTGAAAAATAGTACACGCTAATAACATCCTTTTATTTCAAAGGCGACACATACAAAAAAAAAAAAAAAAAAAAATTAGAATCAAGACTAATAGTACATCTGAAGCTTAAAAATAAAAATAATAATAATAAAATTAAGTTGTTGTCTGAAAACTTCATATCACAATTAAACTCTTAAAATAAATTTAAATAAATAAAAATGGATTTAAGTTTTAAAAAAATCACAAACAGTTTATTCCTTTTCTTGAATAAAAATAATACATTTCCCAATTCAGATAGTAAGTATATACAGATGGATAAAATTTTATTTCAGATAAATAAATGATAATAAAAGTAATTAAATACAATTTAAAGACTGACATTTATTTATGCATTTTCTTTTTGAATGTGAAATAGCATAAATAGAGAAATATCAAAATATTAAAAAGTATATTACATTTTCAATTTTTTTTAAAAAAATTACATATAGTGGGCTGCAATTTGTACATTACTACAACTCTTCACAATTTAACTTTATATTAGATGTAGACAAATATACACAACATGTACAGCTTAAAGCTTTTGCTGCACATTTGTTTTATTTGCACACATATGTTATTGATACATGTATTATTGTATAACACATGTAACAATAACATTTGTACACACGTTATTGTATACATAAGTATATGATATAATAAAACTGATGCTACTGTACTTCGTATTACAATGATCAATAACTTAAAAACTTATCTATTATATAGTAAGAGATTCATAATTTCTTTATCACGTTTGGGTACAAAATAATGTTTATAAATGCTAATAAAGAGTACCGATACAATAACTTTTTTAATAATCGACTTTCTTAAGCTAAGAATACTACTCCAGCTGAGCATTGCTGATCACAACATATTGATCTTTGCCTGTAAATTAAAAAATTACTTGTAATGCACATGATCTTATCTCTAACATAAAGCAACGATATCTTTTCAAGATGTTACATAAATGTTTTTTTTTTTTTGCATCTATGTTCCTTTGATTTAAATAGCTGGATGGTTAACTATGACACAAAACTTCAAGGTTGTCTGTCAAGTGAGTCAGCCTTCTAGAACTTTCTAAGGGAAAGAGTAACATTTACACTAACTCGAAGGATTACGAAACCACGTGAAACCAGCCTGTTTGATAAACTGAAACCAACACAGCAAACAATGATAAACACTCGGTAGCAAATTCGGTTACTTGGTCACTGGTGGGACATACTTTGATTGGTAATTTTATTTGTGTTAATTATTATTTATTTAATTACTACTAGAGAAATAATATCTAAACATCATAAACAAAAACTAATTATTTTAATAATAAAATTAGTCCTATTATTCCATTTAAGGTTTATGGTTATTGTATCATTTATAGTTATCATTGAAACAAGATCAGTTTTTAAAGCACTAGGAATTAAAAGAACAACTAAGTAATGTAAATAAACTTAATTTGTGTAGCTTTTTTACAATGTTTAAATGCTAATACATTTTGGGTGAGAGGGGGGGGAATCTATGATATTCTACCACATTTAAATCACCTTTTTCACCGAGGTAAATTAAAGGAAAGTTAATAAAAATACATTGTCTTCAAATGCAACTAGAAAACATATTTTGATCACATCTCATGAAATAATGAATTTTGGAAGACAATACATTTAGTTTGGATACAAATTTTTAAATATTCTTTTATTCAGATATTTTACTTAGAAATCGGTATTCAAACAAATAAACAAAGTTACATATTAATTTTTTACATTTATTACACCTAATGTTTTAAACATGCCACATGTGTATGTGATCCCTGCATGGTGCCATGTGATTCCTGCAGGTTTCATTAATCAAACTATTCAACATGAAATGAATTAAGTATAGCATCTCACTCAAAAAGCAGAATAAAAATTTTCACAGAGTACAGTCTCAAAATTTTTCCATGCTTGATACATTCATCTATTTAAATTTTCATAATTCTACTGTTGATGAAGTTAAACTTTTTACCTTCTATGAACAATCCTTTATAAAGATCCTCCTGGCAGAAACTAGTTCAAATTAATAATATATGTGGGGGTTAAATCCTTAAAATCTTTTCACTAAGACCACTAACACATTTCACTATGAACAAAACTAATATTAATAATGATGACAATAAAAATAGTATACATGTTAGGAAACCTTAAAAAAACCCTCACACACATCCTCAAAAATGAACATGAGGTTCACATACTTTTATATTATTTTAATGAAATATGTGATTAAGAATAAAATTTGAATAAAAATTTCCAGTTTAGTCACTTAGCTGCTCAGTTAACTGATTCAGAACTAAAATTTTGTTACAAATACGATACTATGATAGAGATCTCATGTATCTTATAGACTTCACTCTTATTTTAACAAAAAGTGTTTAACAAGATATGCTTCAGTAAAAAGTATAAACATAAACTTTGACCAAGTAAATGAAATAACATAATTTATGATACAAATGAACCCACTCACCAATCCCAATGGCGATCGCCTTTGCCACAAAGCATTTAAAGCATTCACAGCCACATTCTCAAATACAGGATCACCAGTTAGCTGGCTCAATGTACCAAACTCAATTATAAAGGTAGAAACTCCAGCAGTACAAGTAATAGGTGTTTCACCAGGAGGAACTCCATACAGCAAATTGACTGTTCCATATGGCATGCCAGTTTTCGTATTGAAAGCTGAAATATATAAACATTCATAACTCATGCATAAGCATTTTAAATTTATTTACTAAAAGCATAACACAGTATACCAAACTGACTATTCTGTTTCACTACCTATTCTCTCTGCTTCTACATCAAAACTTCAAAAAGATCAAAAACATCAAACAGCTACCTACAACTCCCCAACACCCTTGTATGCCTGTGGTTGCCCTTCTATATCGGGAATCACACAAATGCTACCTGTGCTGCTCTTTGTTTGATATATTCACTATACTGTTTGTGTAAAAATAGTACATGACAATAACAGGGTGTGGCAGAAATAACTCTCAGATCTAACATGCAAATAACATAACAACAATACACATTATGGAAAATTTTACTACAGAGTTGGAAAGAAGCAGGTTTACAATTTTGTTTCCTATGTTATCAGGAAATAAACTTCTGTATCATTTTAACAGGATAGTGCCATAGCATATATAAAAAGTGTACTAACATGTTATGCGAAATGTTTCTAAGGCATCCAATGCCCCTTTGAGACATCATTCTATAGTCAGCTCATTCCCCTGATTTTTCACCTTACAACTTTATTCTATGGAGGTATCTGGAAGCCAAGTGTTTGAAGAATCTGAGGACAACCAATGAACTGAAAAATGCTCGAGAGAGGAAACTGCACTAAAAGAGCACGAGACAAAGCAAACAACGTAATGAAGGACTTCAGAGTAAGGCTCTCCAAATTCAACTTTGCAAATCAGCACTTGATATATTCAAAATCAAGTAAATTATTTCAAAACAAAGTTAAACCCTTACGAAGTGTAACAGAGCTAGTGGTTAATATAACTTTGGATTTGGTGATGCTGGTCAGTGATGATGTAACATCACAAGCTAACATACACGCAATATCACAAAGTTTCAGATCAGTTATACCATGTAAATGAAATTCAGAAATATATATATATATATATATATTAAATTTTGTATGAACTTAAATCCATTTTAGTCGATAAGTTATTATTACTTGCGCCTTGCCTGCAAATTAGTTAATATAATTATTTCCTAACAGTATTGATTAATTGATTATATTATCTCCTAAGTTTAATTAAGCAGATTTTTTAAGTGTATCATATTGGTAGTTATATTTTGAAAGATGTTTTGAAGTAATTTGAAAGCAAAATGTATAATGTTTTAACGGGGACTGGAGTTAAATCATCCGAAGAATAATATTACAATTGTAAAAGTAAAATTAAATCATGTAATTATTGTCATGATCGAAATTAGTTGACTTTTCAAGGGGAACAAACCAACTCCCGTTCATGATCATAATTGATAAAATACGTAAATATGAAAGTGTTTCGTCTTTACTCGAGTTATAATTTAAAGCCACCGGCAATTCTAGCAGGCCAAATATTCCGCGAATAGTGTTACTCAAAGAACTTATTCTCATGAAGCATTTTATCAATTCAATTTGGAGTAAAAATCAATTACTGTAGAGAAATCCTGTAAATAATAATTAAACTTAGGAAGATAATATAATCAATTAATCAATACTGTTTAGGAATAAATTATATCTATATATAATATATATATATATAATAAGAAATTAACACTAATTCACAAAGACATGAAGAAATAAATTCAAAACCAGTAAAACCCCAAAGTTTCCCAAAAAATATCAAACTGTTTTAAAACTAGTATAATTTTCGAAACCAATGAAAAAATATAAAAATACAAAATTACTGAAATAGGAAGAGGAATTCAATTAAAGTCTGACTTAACTGACTTAACCACCTCCCAAGAAAATTATTTCGTTTCTATTTATCCAAAATTAGCTGATGAACCATGTTAAATAATTTAATTATAATACAGTCCAATACCAAGAATCCGCCGACCTGAAATTTGAAAAACTCCTGAAATTTACGTTCCCTCTCAAAATATAAACATTCAGTTTATAGGTTCCGGAAACCGCAACATTGAGTATGAAATATCGAAGAAAAAATACTGAATAATGACATCATAATTACCAAATAATAATGAGTCATAATGGAAATACCTCATTACTGACAACATGATAAAAGTTTTTTCTCCTCTAATCTCTGCATCGAGGTAAGAAAGCAGACAAATCACTCAACTCTTCTTTTAAGTTCACGATTTACGTTGTATTTTCTAAGCTTTGTTATTTCACGAGATTATTTAGTGCTGCCTTTTTTTTTATCTGGATATTTTGTGGATAAATTAAGAATATTTTAAATTTCAGATTATTTTAATACAATTACAGATAAGAAACACACTCATGATTTTACTGCTTGCAGCATCAAAAAACATAAACACGTTGCATTGACAGTCATGCAAAAAGTGCAAATTCTGCAAAGGATGGAGATAGGTGCATTTTATAGCAGAATCGTATGGAATTGTGATACGATTGTGTATGATATACGGAAAAATAAAGAAAAGCTGTTGAAATTTTACAGCAACAGTGATTCCAACACTGGAAATCTTTGCATGAGGTGAAATCGGCAAACCTCAATGCTGTGTATATATAATACAATGGATAATATAATCAATTTATATATGTAATAATAATTTAATGCATATAATAAGTTATTGCAATAATGTATATAATAATTTAATTAAATGTACCTAATATGCCTTATTTATCTTGTACTTTTAGTCAGAATATTATGATTTATATTTTCTGTCCTGAAATCTGCCAAATCCTAAAATCCGCACAACCTCTGGTCCCAAGCTTTGCGGATTTCTGGACTTTGACTGCAGTTCATTTGAAAATTCTGAACGCCCGAAACAGATTTCCAATCATGTGAAATAAATTCAACATCCAAAAAAGGTGGAAGAAAAATAGATACATATATTGAATCAACTGGATGTTGAATTTATTTCATATGGAATTATATTTGTACATTTTTATTTTGTATAATGGAAATATGTTTAATCAAAAAGGCATTCAGAATTTTTTAATGAACTATTATAATTAAATTATTTAAGATAGTTCAGCATCTAATTATGAATGAACAAAAATGAATTAGTTTTCCTGGGGGGGGGGAAGAATTCAATCAAATCTAACCTACCTTCTCTTGATAACGTTGAATCAGGCTTTAATTGAATTTCTCTTCCTATTTTTATAATTTTGTATTTTTCTGTCATTTTTGAAAATTATAATAGTTTGAAAACAATTTGATATTTTTAGGAAAATTTTGGGATTTTATTGGTTTTTGAAGTTATTTTTTCATGTCTTTATGAAAAATATGTTTTCTGATTCATTACTAAAATGGATGGCAATAGGTAAGAATTTCTTTCTTCTCTTAACTTGATGAGGTTGAAACAATCCCAAGAAATTTCTCATATTCCCAGAAATATTTCATCAACATTTACTCATATTAAATCACTTAAAAAAACTTTCACTGATAGTTAATTAAAATATTTTATATTAAGATTGAATGCAGAAAAGTTTTATATTAAAGTTGAATGAAAGAAAAAATGTTTTATATTAAGGTTGAATGCAAAATGCTTTCACTTTTGAAACAAAACTATCATTTCTATCATTACGCACATATCCATTGAATGCTCTCTACAAGAAGGTATTTTAGAAAGATTTTTACGGTTAGTAGTTTAAAATTCTAATTTAGTACTTAAAAGATACAGAAAAAATGTTGTTATTTTTCCTTTAAGTGAATTTAATGATTTAAATTTACATTAAAACTTACATGATTTTTAAATTCACATATTTCTTTTTAGAAATTAATATTTTGGCAAAGTATTTAACATTTTATTACAACTTGCCAATAATATTTTTTTTTTTTTTCATATTTGCTTTAATCTTAAGTGCCTTTTCTTAATACATCATTTTTACTGATGGTTTACTCAGTCATGCTGGGCTCGATTATTCAATTTTATTTTTCTATTTTCCATATTTCTGACCTATATCAAATTTTTCTATAGTACTACTATTTTCATATATACATTTGCACTGCTATTGTTTCAATATTTCATTATATTATGCTTGTTTTTGTACTTTTGCTTATTTTTGTATGCTACTGTTTCTTTCAGATATATCCTATCTTAAAGCATTAGATGCTTTTTCTAATATATACAGATATATATATGCATAAATATATACAATATTAAAGCCAGCTACAGATATGTTCTAAAAGGAAAAATGCATTTCATTTCAAGTGTCATTTACATCTTAAAAGATATATTTTTTTTAATTTATCACAATATGCACTTTTTTTCATTACCCTGGATTTACACACACACACACAAATCTATATATTTTCTTTATGTTTTGACAAGTTCATGTCTGTCATTTTACCAGTTTTTAGAACACACAGCAGAAAGCTAAACACTATATAAATAGTGTATTTTTACTAATTTTTGCAATGCAAAGAAGAAACTACTTATGCAATAATAACATGCAGGGAAGACAAGAGGTACTTGATCCCTAAACAAAAAGTATTCCAAAATCAGGTTATAGAGTTCTAAAATCTGGCTAAACATTTAAAGCTGCATCTTTTTACAAAAACTAACAACATATAATTATTGACAAAAGTTTTATTCTAGCACAATACGCAATTTATTTAATGCAACAAATTCAAATTTCTCATAAGTAAATACAACAGCAAGAAAAACTAAAGGAACACTTAAAATAGGTGCATTGTGCGAATTCATCCAATGAACGGTAATTTGTGGTATATGTAGTCTAATAGGTTCATCTTCACTACTCAGAAACATGCAAATTTTTGTACCCACTTTTTCAGCATATGCAGAAAGGAATGCAAAGGGATGGCTTAGATTACTTCGTGAACTGTATAAGTAGCTGGATAAAATTTTGCATGCGGAAGGTGGAACACATATTTGAGAAAGGTTTGATGAATTATGAGAAACAGCATGCAGTTGGAAGAATGCAAGTAGTGCAAACATAATCTAAAACACTGCATAGAAAATCACCATTAAGCTTGTATTTCAATCAGGTGATCATGTACCTTTATTAATTTCGTCATTGCATCTAAAAATATTATAATACTAACTTTTCCCCTACTAAATATGCAATTTTTTACTTTCTTAGTTAATTTTTTTCTTTCTAGAAATAGGCAATTCTTCACTTTGAAGCAACATCAGGCATGGCAAAATCTTGTGCAAGTACATGTTCTCAGCTGCAAAATCATTCAAGCTGCATAAGTTTTTACAGCTGCTCGTTTAATATTTCTCATCACTGTATTATGATGGTATTCTTTTCTATTATTTGTAATTTATTTTTACAGAATTTTAAAACACAGGCTTCAGCCATCCTACATAATTTCTATAGTAAATTGGATTTGCTTGTTTTATTATGCAAAATTAATTTTTATTTAAAACATATAATGAGCATGTTTGATCCCACTCTTCTGAAGATGTGTAATTGTAAATAAGTATTCCTATGAGCATACTCTGTGCAATGAAAAAGCATGATGAAACGGAACATTAGATTTATTTCCAAATAATGGATATAAAACACACCAGTTTTTAATCTGATGGAATTTACCCATAAAACAACAGTGAAATTTTATGCAATTTCTGAATAAAATATGGAAATTGTTATATTTTTCCTCTCAAGTCTAGATGCAAATTTATCCAAGGAGTACTACCCATATATGATACTGAACAATAGTTTGCACACATAAGGCTAATATCCAATCCAATTTAAAAGCCAATTATATAAAGCTGTAAGATAACTCATCTGACATGATAATGATTAATAAGAGCTTGCATTATTCAAGAAAAGATGAATTTTACCTTAACTTAACAAGCCTAAAATGGAATTAGATCAGTCTTGCATGAAAGTGATTAATTTTGTTATAGTCAAATCTCAATGAAAATGAAAAAGGTGTTTATTAAGTGGATCAAATAAAAAGATAGTTGAGTTTCTGACTATGAAATAATTTTTAAAGAAAATATTATCTTTTATTTCCTCTAAAAAAATTAATAAAAATGCAATTAATGAGAAAAAATACAAAACTGTTCAATCCAATTATATTAAGGGGAAGGTTAAGAACTGACATAAATTCAACCTTTTAATCTGTTTTCTCTATTTTGAAAATATTTGCTAACTCTTAATGCCATCCTTTCCTTGAGTTCTACTAAATCTCTAATGTGACTGTACGCACCCAATTTTTTTTAAATAAAATACTTTGATCTTTATTCGACTTGCAATTTTACTTTTATGCATATTTGCAAGATTTTTTTGCCTCTTTACAGGCCCACTTTTAATCATAACCGGCACATAATCTGCATGGTCATTCTAATCAACTAAAAATTAAAATACTTGTTAAATTATATAATAGATATTTAATAAAAGCCACAAGCTTACTTTTTTAAACTTTGTGTTTAAGATGAAATATTTCCAATCAAAGGATCAAGTATTGTTCAGAGATTTATTTCAAAAAATAGAAACCAGTACTTTTCCGTTTTGTCGGCGCAAGCGATAAAGTTGTCGAAAATGGTACAACCGATGCCAAACGGAATATCCTCGCTGGTAACCTTTTACGCCTCATTTTCAAAACAAGTCACAGCCATTTCTTATCCGATTAATTGTTTTTTTCAATACTGGCACAAAATTGCATAGAATTTTTACCAGATAGTTCAATTTTATGCCCTACGGCCATTTGCGGTAGCTAAGTCAATTAGGATGCAATCACACCGCTCATTCGAAGGCGAAAATACAGAAAAGGCAAAGTTAAATTTATCAATTCTAATGCGAATGCACTAGCGAAGTAAAGCACTGCAGTTTTACATAATTTCTGAGTAAGCTATTCGTACGAATAAAAATGATTCTTGCATTTAAACTTTTATTCCATACTAAGATTTAACTAGAAATTACTGTAGAATGAACTAATAACTGGGTAACTTGAAATTAATGAGAGAATTAGATTTTTGTAGCTTAGTTTACATGAGATGAGATCACTTGGAGTCACGTGATATGAACCAGTGAATCAGGATGCTTTACCAAGAACGCATAGTAAATTCTTAAATTAATTTTGTTTTACAAATTTATTGTCTTTACTTATTGCCTTTTTACAAAATTTTAAATGATATTAAAATGTTTATGCCTTCAAATCTAAAATCCTTAGAACTAATATTTGTTAACATGTTTTATGTGTATACCGTGTGTTGTCGCCAATAAAGTCTGCTTGGCAAGATTTACGCCAGCGAAGCATAAACGTACCCAGAAACCCATAGTTTAATGAACCAATATTTACTTCGTGCTGATTAAAAAATACCATAATCTGCCAAGAAAAGACATTAATAATTAAAAATTTCTTTAAAATGTCACTTTGCAGCAGAGAAAAAATTCAAAACTGAAAAGGGAAAAACTACGCTGTCTTCCTACAGCAGTGCAGCCACTCAGAATTATTGGTTCATTAAATACTAGTGAGAACAATTTTCTGAACTATAAATCAGATTAAAATCTCTATAAAGGAAAAGAAAAATAACAGTAATTTGAAGAAGTTAAAATTAAAAGGCAAAAGATGTAATTAGAAAACAGAATGGAGACAGCATTAATTTATTAGTGAAAAACTATATAACATGCAGCTCATAAGATAACACATGGCTATAATTAACCTAAGCCCAAGATCCTTTGGACTACAAGTGCTCCTCAAAGCCTGCCCATTAAGGACCATGGTCCTCAAGCGGAACTTGTGGTCCCTTGTGACCTACCTACATTTCCAAAAATGATAAAAAAATAAAATTTAAATTACCTGCATTCACTCCAGTATAGCTGAAAATCTCATAGTTTATAAATTACACATGGCAATTGTCTATCCTGTATTTTCCCCAAGTCATATTTTATGATATTTATTACTAGATTAACTACCCATAGACATCTCATTCCAGTCTTAGCAACAAAACAGGGATTTAAAAACACTATGACTTGCACTTTTTACCAGCATACATCAAAACATAGAAGAGCTATGAAAGAACCGGCACGCTCATCCATCTTACTAATGTGAGTACTAACATTTATTTAATCTTTAGTTAATATGGTAGAGATTATTCAAACTCTAACAGCTTTGAATTCTTGATAACAAATATAAACCTCCTTCTATTAATTTAATACCAGTATAAATTTAAATTAATTGTATTTTTTAAATTATGCTGGGAGTAACATTATGTTTTAAAAAAAATGCTTTTAAAGGGAAAAAGAGTAAAATGGTTTTCAGAACAGTTTAATTTATAAAAAGAGATCCTTGTTCTGAAAAAATCTGTGGAGCACTTTACAGATGAATCAGCCTGTTTCAAGAGCTTAAACAGCCCTTTAATTCATATGTTATTTTATTGATATAATTGCAAGCCTTTTCATACGCAGATTGCAAAACTAAAAAAATAGTTCAACTCTCCCCACTGCATATGAATAGAAAAGATACACATAACAGAATAATTAGCAACATCCAAACACTGATTAACACAAAATTCTAAGGGGAAAAATTTTGAATTTTGATACAGCTACCCATAACATTACACATGCCATACTGAGGGATCTGTCACACCTCTTGTACATATATGTAAATTTTACCTGGAAGCAATTTGCGAGCAACTTTCTCAGCAAGATTCAACAATGGACCAGAACATGGCCAACCTGGATCAACATCAAGACCAGCTCTCTTTGATAACAAATGAGCAGATAATAATCCTCCAACAACTGAAAATAAGAATATATATTAAAATACTTAAATATGTTATTAAAAACATGTTAACAAAATAAGGGTACGAAGGAAAGGAAAATTAACTGGAAAATACAAGCAGAATGAACAGTTTGCAGTTATTATAATCCACTGTATAAGAATGTAACAATTAATGCCCTTTTTATTAATATTTTGGAAATAATATCTCAACCATGTTACAACTTTGATAATAATATCTTACAAGCTTTTATGTCTCCATAGAACCTAACATCTTTTCTACTAATATGAAAAACACAGGTCAATGCAACCCATTCATGTTATTTAATAAAAGATGCTAGAGACTTCATCAGCACATAATAGCACATTCATAAATGCAATGGACACCACTGCCTAAACAGACAAGATAAAAAAAAATTACCATCAAGTATCAAATTACAACCAGTGAGTAAAAATGTGATTACTCTCTCAACATTCTCGTTTAACTGCACATTATGTTACACTCATACCTTTAATTGCACAATCTAGGTAACATTTGGTAAACAAATCAGCTGATTTTTTGTGGAAATATATTTCAAGATTCAACCTTGAACTATGCTTGAGCTTTTCAAGCAAAACTTCATAATCAACAACCTCATTTAACTGCACATATCTTACACTCATGTCTTTAACTGCCCCATCTAGGTAACATTTGGTAAACAATTCAGCCAATTTTTTCGAGAAACATGTTTCAAGATAGCACTATGACTTTCATTTAATATGCCTTTAATAATTGACTGACTAAAGTCAAAAACAGTAATATTTTCACACCCTAAGAACATTTAACATTTTATTTACATTACACAGTTAAATCTTGACAACTCCTTTTGTCAAAGCTAAAATTTCTATCTCAGTAACTGACAGATTGCTTTATATCAACCTGTATTACAGGATTATTAATCAGCATAATAATTTACATGTAATTTGTGTGTTAGCCTCCCATTCTCCACCTACATGAACGGTAATCAAAACATTATTAGATTTATAAAACAGCAGTCTCAGTACTGGTGGCCTTTTTAAGTAATAAAGAACACTCTTCAGACCAGCTCAAGTGGTATCGGTTGGCTGCTTTCAGACTTAAATGAGACAATTCACAAAGTACAAAATATCATGATGAGTTATCATTCACAAGTAAAGCAATGCACTTACACAGTTAATGGTAAAGAATGTAAAATTTTTCACCTTGCTCAGAATCTCATGATGTTGTAAGAGGGTATTTATAAGGAGTATCACTCAGTTTACGATCTGCTTTTTTTAAGACTTAAATCTTTCTCAACATAAGTCTTTAAGGAAAATGGTCAAGAGAGCATTCTAAACACATTATAAGGAATTTATATGCAGCTTTTGTCTAAAGTTGCATATAAATCTTAAATTCTAAATACTTTTAATATAAATTTTGAATTCCTTTCTAACATGAATAACAACTTCTGATTTATCAGAATCTGAAATTAACAGATCATTTATATATTCACTATATTTAAAACTTTTCAAACTGATTTCACATTTAAATGAGGTACGAAATCAATAAATCTTCTGAATCATTATCTTCCTAGTACACAAAGCATTTTATGAAACTTGCAAACTTGACTATTGCTGTTAACATAATCCGTGAGATGCTACATGAAAATTATTTCATGCAGTTTATCATTTGGAAAAGTCTTAACATCTAATACAAGTATTCTCAGTTCTTTTTGAGGAATTATGGCTAGTCCAAGTGCAAGCATATTAATAAATTACCTTATCATTTAAAACCACATGCAACCAGTTATGCTTTGCTAACATTATTGATACCTAACATCTATTTACAAGACACAAAGCTCTTCATCATCTGACAACTGAAACAATTTACACACTTCATTCTTATTCAGAATCAGATTCTCAATCTACACTTTTTCATAAAATTTGCTAATCTACAGGTAATTTTCAATATCTGAAATGATACTGAGTCAAGATTTGCTATTAGAGCTTCAGCTATGGTAATCACCTAGTTTAGCAAGTATTTATTTCTTTTTGATCCGTAATTTCCTTCAGAACTTCTATCTTCTGAAATTTTTCTTTGATAGCTTCTAAATCATTTATATCAGAATTACTTCTTCAGATGCAAGATTTTCAACTTATGGAAACACTGTCTTAGCTGTGTCACTTGTGCGTAACATTTTCTTATCTTCATTAAACAGCTTTCAAGACACCAATAATTTTGACCGCATGGCACCTAGTTTCCAAACAGGCCCTCTAAAAGGGATATTCGAATTAGTAACATTTTCCTTAATGATCTTTTGGGGTAGGAGGGAACAGTTCTGCAACTTGCATTATTGGGGGAGAAGATGAAATTTCATTTGCCATACAAAATATGTTTTTTTTTTTTTTTTTTTTTTTTTTTTTTTTTAAATATTTGGTGTAATTGGAAAGCACATCTGGCTAGCCACTGGAAAGTCAGGAGTTCAAATCCTCATGAGGCCACTGTCAATTTTTACATGTTTCCTGGTCCAAAATAAACCTAATGAAAATGTGGTGGATGATAATTAGTCACACTAAGATCTAGTGACTACGGACTCTCCTCCCTTTAAAGGGGGTAGAATGTATGGAATTTTCTCCCTCTTTATTGGATGGCTTTCTGGTGTAATTGGAAAGTAGGTCTAGCTGGCAATTGGCAAGCCCAGAGTTCAAATCATGGAGAAGGCACTGCAGATTCTTTCAAAATAAGTCTAATGACAGTACAACTAATTCAATTTTTTTTTAATACAAATTGATTTTAAAACTATCACATCATCATTCTTCATCATTCTTTATAACCAGGCAATTCTTCACATACTTTAACTCGTACAAAACATGTGCCAGCACTTTTGGAGCATTCAAAATCCACTTTTTTAATATGATACCTATAATTCAATACCTCCTATTGATGGTCTGAAGAACCAATTCCTCTCACCTTTTGCTAAAGAATGCAGCAGTTTTTTAAAAGAATGTAAAAAGTCAGCAAATTAATATTTTCTTATCACTTTTAATTTAAACTATCAAATTAGTTATATAGATAGCAGAAGAAGTCTACTAAGTAGTAAAGTCAACAAACCCAAGTTTACAAACTACCACATATTTTGTTCTACTCCAACTGGTTCAAAAATGCAAGCTTGTTTTACATCTTTTACATGACTCTGTGTGTTTTTATTTTTCAGTGCTTTGCTTTTTGCATGAATTTAACTGTTCATTTGATAACTTTGCAAGTAGTTAAAAACTATTTTTACCACCTTAGACAAAGTAAAGGAAGTCTTGTAATCGTGAAAAATATCAGTTTTATTTCAGTACAAATATCTATTCTAACTGTTCTCAAATCCATTTGCATGGTTTTCTTGCATGACGTCTATACATATGGGCAGAATAAATAACTCTCTTTTCCAAAATGAATTCAAAATAAGTTCTCACGTCTGTACATACATATGTATATATGTATCTTGCATAACTCAAAAACGATTAGTCATAGAATGCTGAAATTTTGTATACAGGAGTGCTATAGTTCATACCTCCTGTTTTTATTGCAATCAGCAGAACCAAGCATGTGTATACAAAAACACATACCCATCCCCCTTAAACAATTAAAAGTCCTTACCCGGCCTTTATTTTCGTAATTACTGGTCGTAGTAGATACTTTCATTTACAAGTGTTTTAAATGATAAAAATACTTGTTTTGGTGAAACCCAATAACACAGTGGCTAGCATGTTGCACAGCAGCACCACAGATCCAGGGTTCAATACCTGGGCTGAGCAAGGTCGACTCAGCCTTTCAACCTTTGAGTGGGTCAATAAAATGAGTACCAAGTTTGCTTGGGGACTAAACATCGAGGGTCCTGCAACAAACTGACCACTTGTCCAAGGCATATACTCATGAACCCCGAGGCCCACGGTCAAGAAAGCATATTTCAGGGCACTGCAGGCCTTGGCCCACTAGGGCTGTTGCGCCACTGAATTTAGATACTCGTTTTAGCAGTATGAACATTTTTTTAATTAATTTTTTTTTGACAAATTCTAACTTTTAATGCAATTTTACAGTTCTTATATTTGGGAAAGGTTTGTACTTGTTATGAAAGAATAAAAATATTGGGTTTTAATGAAAGTTTCCTGTCATCGCAAATATCATCTGCGCAAAGAGTTCGTGTTGGTGTGTTTAATTACATTTTGTCAAGCGATGTTTGACATTTGAAAGAAAAAAACTTGCTTTAGAACACTGTGTTGCAAAATCTGTAAAAAATATCATTAAGTACAATGTGTCTGACATGGAACTATCACGCTACCAGATTAGAACTATCACTTACTTCCAGTTACGTTGCAAAAAGTCAGCTGCAGAATGTCACCAAATCATGTGTACAGCTTTAAGCACTAATGCTGTATCATATGACACTGTGAAGGCTAGGTACCAAAAGTTCGAAAACAAGGACTTAAGACATTCAGGAAGCAGAGCACTCTGGCCAGCCTACTGATGTTGATGAGGTCCACCTGCGAGAATTTGTGAAAGAAAATCAGCATGCAACCACTCGGGAGCTTGCTAAGGAATTCAATGTTAGTGCCATGTCTATTAGTCACACTATGCATCACATAAACGTGATATACAATTTCAATCGCTGGGTGTTGCATCAGCTGACTCAAGCAGATAAGGATAGACGTGTTCGAGCCTGCACTAATCTGATCGAATATCAACGAAAGGACAAAATTTTAGACTGAATCATCACTTGTGATGAAATGTGGATTCATTTCAACAACACAGGCTGGAAAGGGGGGGTTAGTCTGTGCCCATTGGCAGTATCACGAAGCACAATTTGACTGTAGCAATCTCAAGAACATCTCAATGCTCGCAAATTTGAAAGAGTTGGAATTCTTGAAACTAGCGAAATGGAGATCTTTTGGGCTAGTGGTAAAGAATTCTACTTGTAAATAACCGACACAGGTTCGGGTCCCGGTCATGCAATGCAGCACTTCTTACCGCCATTAA